TGTGTGTGGGTGTGTGTGTTTGTGTGTATGAGCCTATGTATGTGTAATATTGAAGATGACTTAACGAGCACATAAACTTGAACTCTTTTTTTTTTGCACAGGCAAACCGATTTTTTTGAGAGGGGAAATGCGTCATACATGCATTAAAAAAGAACAAAGAATGATCATAGCTTTGAAAAAGCTAAATGATAAAGATTATCAACATGTTACTAACACACAGTTTGTGTTATAGTTAAAGGTTCCATTTGGTCAAAGACCTACTCATTGATTTCTAAAATGAACACGATGCATGACAATCGACGCTATTATAAGAAGAAAAAACAAACATTTGTAGATCATAATTTAGATACACGATATGATAAAAATGTAGAACATAATTTAGATACACGATATGATAAAAATGTAGAACACAATAAGTGTTAGGTATTAAACATGCAAGGAATATTCAAATATAAACCTATGAAATCTATGAACGTTTAATACGTATGCCACATAATGAAACAAAGCTAGGGTGAATTGTGATGAAACATATATCCCCAGAAAGAGAGTTTTTAGGCGATTGATTGATCTCTGAAATATAACATAGAACCTGACACTATTGGAAAAAGGGGCAGTGTACTTGGAATGGGCTACAGTTTTATCACATTTTTTATGCGTTGTCGTCCCATCCATTTGAATTGATCTGTGTTTCTTTTAAATTCAGGAAACCCTATACAATCTGATTGAGTACTAGTGGAGAAAACGGATAAGTCGCCGCGAGATGGCACCATTCACTAGTGATGCGAAACAAGTTTAAGGAGATCCGGTCAGCTACCCGCTGATTGGACAATAGTCACAATGCCCCCCGACGGTCACTGCGATCCTAACACCAGGTATAAATAGCCACCAAAACGCTGCTGGGCATCCATTCAAGTCATCGAACATTGTTAGGTTCTGAACTTCGCTTCCGATTTATTCTAGACTCATCAAAAACATCATGTCTGGCAGAGGAAAGAGTGGAAAGGCCCGCACCAAGGCAAAGACGCGCTCATCCCGTGCAGGGCTCCATTTTCCAGTAGGACGTGTCAATCGGTTTCTCCGAAAGGGCAACTATGCAAAGAGGGTCGGCGGTGGAGCTCCTGTCTACATGGCTGCCGTCCTAGAGTACCTCACTGCCGAAATCTTGGAACTCGCAGGCAACGCTGCCCGCGACAGCAAGAAATCTAGGATCATCCCACGTCACCTTCAACTCGCTGTGCGTAATGATGAAGAACTCAACAAGCTTTTGGGTGGGGTGACGATCGCTCAAGGTGGTGTTCTGCCCAACATCCAAGCCGTGCTGCTCCCCAAGAAAACCGCTAAATCAAGCTAGAGTTTGCTCCCGGCAATCTTGAAACCTCAACGGCCCTTATCAGGGCCACCAATTACTCACGAAAGAATTGTTTCATTTATGAATCCCCCTATCCCCACTCTCTTTCTCTCTCTCTCTCTCTTTCTCTCTCTCTTTCTCTCCCTCTCTCTCTTAGTTTAAAACGCTACACTTGGGATGAACTAAGCCTTAACAGTTGTTATATATATAATGATTGATATATATTAAATAAAGATATACATCCTTAGATGTTATGAACAAAAAAATGTATAGAGCAGTAAAAGAAAAGGAAAGGTGGTTAATCAAAAATATATTTACAGTTACTAGTACGGATATTAGGGTGACCATGCAGAGCAAAACATTATCTTTTTATTCGGCATTTTAATAGGAAACTATAAATATGCAATTTCCCATGAATGTGACTGTGTTTCAAGAGGGGTGACGATCAGGGGTTGATGGTGTTATCGCCATTTGATCTCATTTTTTTCTTCAAATTCATATAATGATTGTGTACATTATACGTGGTAGGAGAGGATGAAGAAGAAGAAGGATGAGAAGAAGACGGAGAAAGAGAAGAAGGAGAAGGGGGTGGTGGAATAAGAGCATGTATGGATGGAAAAGAAGGGAGAAAAGTATCTTAAAACAAACACAAACTGGCATGCAGTCATGGGGGCGGACGAACCGGGATTGTCTCCTCCCACGTACGCAACAATACCTTATATTAATGGCGTTGCCGAGCCGATGGTTACGCCACAACTAGGCGTTGTGGCGTGCGCCTGTAATCCAGCTAAAAAGTGGAAGTTACAAACTGATTCAGCCGAGGACGCAGGTTCGAAACTGAGTCACGTCTTTCGGATGGTGACGTTTAAAGGTCGGTCCCAGACGTAAATAATCATATCTGATTGATACACGTCTGTAAAAACCCAATACACACACACACGCCGATGGTTATTCGTTTTGTTAACCTCCCGACGCACCGTATATCAAGATGGCTGAGAAGAATAGCTCTAAGAAGGTGACTACTAAGAAGCCGGCCGCCCACCCACTGAGCTCCCGAGATGGTTGCTACAGCAATCACCGAGTTGAAGGACCGCAATGGGTCCTCGCTGCAAGCAATAAAGAAGTATATCGCTACCAATTTCGATGTGCAGATGGACCGACAGCTGCTATTCCTCAAGCGGGCCCCAAAGTCTGGCGAGGAGAAAGGCAAACTAGTGCAGACGAAGGGGAAAGGAGCTTCGGGTTCTTTCAAGCTGAATGTGCAGGCGGCCAAGGCACAGGCGTCGGAGAAGACCAAGAAGGAGAAGGAGAAGGCAAAAACTGCTAGCACAGCGTGAGAAGGCCAAGGAAAAGGCTGCAGCGAAGAAGGAGAAACTGCAGAAGGCAGCCGCCGTAAAGAAAGTCAAGGCAGCCCCCAAGAAAGCGAAGAAGCCAGAAAAGAAAACGACTGAGAAGAAAGAGAAGAAGAAGAAGACTCCAAAGAAGGCACCCAACAAGCCAGCAGCCAAGAAATCAACACCAAAGAAGACGCCCAAGAAGGCAGCCGCAAAGAAACCCAAGACTGCCAAGCCCAAAAAGCCTGCAAAGTCCAAGTGATCAAGTTGCACGCCAACTTTACCATCCTACAAAAACGGCTCTTTTCAGAGCCACCACATACCCAAGAAAGAACACTTGTCCAAATGCACTCATGGGATACTATGATTATGTGTAATGAAGAAGAAAATGAAGGGAAAAAAGGGGATGGGGGGGGGGTAAAAAAAAGAAAATGGATAAAAAGAAATTAAAAAGGGAAATAAGAATGACATGCATTATGGACTGTGATATTAGCCCAATCAGCACTGGTTCTCGTTTCAGCCCTTTTAAAATGCAAACAAACTATATATAATACAGTACTTGTGAATATAAAAAAAGAAAAAGGCGCGCGGACGGCCTTGGGTGAGAAATGCATTCCTATTGATGTATATTGAGTAATGTAGGTGATGACCTATTTTTCAGTTAATTAAGTTTCGTCATCCATGTATACTGTTGGATAAGATTCGTCACCCCCTCTTATTTCAACTCGAGCATTCAACACAGGCCTCTCTAGATAAATGCATGTACTAATGCTAGCGAATACTCGCCACAAGGGGGCGCACTTGAATGGGGAGTCTCCGCACTCCAGTCCCGCATACCGAATGATGCCGAATCTCGTCACCCAAGTCCGCAATGGTGTACTCGCTGCAATCCGGTTGAGGTGTCATTCGCTTAGCGTAAACCAGTCTACAGGATCACACAGAACTCGCTCTCAACTATCAATCATCATCATGTTAGGTCGAGAAAAAGGAGGAAAGGGACTCGGAAAGGGTGGTGCCAAACGTCATCGCAAGGTTCTACGAGACAACATCCAAGGCATCACCAAGCCTGCAATCCGTCGACTTGCTAGAAGGGGAGGTGTCAAGAGGATCTCTGGTCTCATCTACGAAGAGACACGCGGTGTACCGAAGGTCTTCCTGGAGAATGTCATCTGTGATGCAGTCACCTACTGCGAGCACGCCAAGCGAAAGACTGTCACAGTCATGGACGTGGTGTATGCACTGAAGAGGCAGGGTCGTACATTGTACGGCTTCGGCGGCTAAGTGTAGCAGACCTCTCTCTCGCCTGGCTAGAATAACAAACGGCTCTTTTCAGAGCCACCAAATAATCAAGAAAGAATACTGTTGTATGTTAAAACCGTGAAAGTAAAGAAAGAAGAAGAAGAAATGAGCCGTTAATATAAGGCAAAACGAACAATGACTGTAAATACCTCCCAGAAGAGGCGATATAGTGATTGGTATAGACAGATGAAAGGCAAATCATGAAACAGAAAGCAATGAATGAAATTTAGGTTGGGCAAGAAGGGTGTGTCTATTCCAAAAGAAAGGCAGATTATGAAACAGAAAGCAGTAAGAAATTTAGTTAGAAATAGTGTATAGACATTGGCATTTATAGTATGAGGGTCGTTGTGTATGTTTTCAACTGAAATTGAACATTGTATCAAAAGAGAATTACGATTTATTTACAAAAGTAAATGTAAATGCTCGTTATTAAACAGCCTACTCTGTGATAAAAGATGTGAAATGGATAAATAAAAAATAAAAGATGCATGTTGTTTTCATAGTAATAACGCATTCATAATGATTATACCTGATATGTAATCGTATAGCGCTTAATACAGGGCTTTAGATATATTATATAGGTTCTCTTTTTCATTTGCTGTAACCAAATAATTTTGAATTACAATGTCAAAGATATTTCATTGCTCATTTCTGTTATATCATTACGTTTATTATTATTGTCTGTCGTTGTTTATATTGTGTGAGAAGAAATGAAAAATAAATTCGCTCTTTACATATAGAGCGACACTACTAATACTACTACTATTACTACTACTATATAATTATATATCTCCGAGATTATGTCAAAAGTAGGAGTGAATCATAACCTGTGCAAGTATGTCTTGGATAAAAAGTCTCGACATGTTCCATATTCCCATCAAAATCATCGTCTTCTTCAATTGAAGAATGCAGAGAGATCCTATATTACAACATATGCTCGTATGATCTGTATGGGTTGTCACCATGTCGCCATCTCTAGGCAGGGGATGCAACAGGCACTAATTCTGCGACGCCTTAGACCAATGAAAGGATCGAGACCGAGGCTCATTTGCATACGGACCGCAGCATACGGATCCGGCCCCGAGTATAAAAAGGAAAGGTTCTCGCTGGCCATTCACAGTATCCAAAGAATATTTGCTTGACATACTCGTTTCGCTGCATCTTTACGGGCCAGAAAACCTCAATTCATCATGGCTCCAACAGCTCAAGTTGCTAAGAAAGGCTCCAAGAAGGCAGTCAAGGCCCCTCGGCTCAGCGGTGGCAAGGAGAGGAACAGGAAAAGGAAGGAGAGTTATGGAATCTACATCTACAAAGTCCTCAAGCAGGTTCATCTAGATACCGGCATATCCAGTCGGGCCATGGTCATCATGAACAGCTTCGTCGACGACATCTTCGAGCGAATTGCCGGCGAATCTTCCCGCCTCGCTCAGTACAACAAAAAGTCAACCATCAGCAGCAGCAGTCTACCTCCAAGTAGACAGGTCATATACTACTCTACTTGGACATACAACGGCCCTTTTAAAAAAAGAATGATATCCGTAGTATTAAATGTAGCGTAGTTGTTTATTAAATAAATAATGTGTATAATGAATATAAGATATAATCAAGATTACACGATAGTATATAATAATATTAGCCCTATATAAATCTCACTCTATAAATCTAGACTAGAGCATAAAGTGTATTCATGATGGTCGGGAGGAAGACGAAAATAGTCGATTAAATAAAAAAAGGAATACAATTCAAGATGACAACATGTCCTAAATGATATACGTCCATGCATCTGTAGTGACTAAACTCGTTTTTACCATTTCAAAACTTGGTTTTTTATTTAAGAACACCGTACAGTATATTGGGTGTGTCTAATTTAAAACATACGTGTCAGACCCGAAGCCTCATTACTTTAATGGTCACGTGGGTCTGTGTATTTACGTTAAGAACAAAGTAGTCCCTTGATTAATTTATCTATAAATTGTTTGTAGGTAAAGTTAAATGGACCGTAATGGAATTATGATATTTTCTCATGTATGTTTTATTGTTCTATCCTAAACTTGATTATTATACTTAGTTCAGAAGGATGTGCATTCATGCTCGAAAAGTAGTCCTTACGAATGCGCGCTATGTCAGGCAAGGCCCTAACGGGCATTTTATATAGCGGACATTCGTTCACTTGCTTTAAGCGAAGCTGGTTGTCTCCATTTTACTCCGACACGCTTAAGCTTTGCCGTCAATGTAGCCTGTTTGTGTTGCACCATTTAAAAAGGTATGTAGAGATAATTGAATATATTTGATGCTATTGAGTTTTACTTTGCTACCAGTGTTTATGATGCCGTAATATAACAGTCTGTTCATTAATTGTATATTATGTAATGAGATGTTTTATTCACTGTAGGGTAGAAACATACCGAGGCATGTTAAATGTATTCTTCTGTTATTTACGGGATTGATGAGTAGTCTGTAAGTATCAGACTCGGTTTATATATCATGGGGATTTTTACAACAAATACTGATTCAAATGTAAAAGTCCATAGTATATAATTGACGTTTCATGTTTTTTCCTACTTTAGCCGCTGAGGCGTAAGTTGAGGTTGCTTTATCACCACCACGCTACAAAGCTACAATTGACGATGACGTATGATTTTTCTTACCCGTGTGACATTTAGTCTAGGGTGAGTTGCGTAGGAATATTTATGTTATGTATTCAATAATATTGATTGGAGTCATGACTGTTTGATATCTATACATGTATTTACAGATAATATTGAATACTATGTATTTTATTTCTTGGTTTCTTAATTGCATTTCAATGTATATGAACTGAATTGAACTGTACTGCATTTGTCTACAGAAATTTAATCACAATCCATATGATGACTTGCATGATTTTTATAATGTGATTATGGTACTTCTGATGCTTTTGTTTTATTTTTTCTGTACAATGCAGGGGTTTCCGTTTTTATTTATAAACGAAATAAACTTCATTGCACTTCACCATGGCGTCTCAACTTCTTCATTTTTGTTGGCTATGATTTGAACCGTGGAACACGCTTCCTACACATCCTTCCTTGAAAGGTTGACGAGATGCAGGTTAAGTGTCTTTTTTCATGATTCATCCCCACCCAGCTCCCTGCCTGCCTGCCTCCCTCCCTCTCATCCGCCCTCTCAAGATCAGTCGAGCAGACTCTCGGTCAAACACCTTAATCATTATTTGTTAGAATGCATATTTTCGTAATTATTTGGCACCACTGAGTGCGTGAGCCGAATTCCCGGCTTACCATGTAACCCATGTTGCAAACGGTGGTAGCGCCACCTTTCGACACATTTTATTGACTTTGCACATACGGCATCGCCAAGCCCCCTTCCCGTCACGCGCTAAACAAAAGAGCAGCCCGGTTGACCAATCAAGAGAGCTGTACAAACGTAGGGCGACGGCACCAAGATCCTTCGCAGCACATATAAATAGCTGAAAATTGCAAGTGGTTCTCATTCATCCCGTCACTCGTATTTGAAGTACTGAATTACCTACTGTCTCTCAAGCAACTATGGCACGCACCAAGCGCAGACCGCTCGCAAATCTACAGGAGGGAAGGCTATCCGCAAGCAGCTGGCAACCAAAGCTGCCAGAAAGAGTGCCCCCGCCACTGGAGGAGTCAAGAAGCCTCATCGATACAGGCCTGGCACAGTCGCCCTGAGAGAGATTCGCCGCTACCAGCACTGAGCTTCTCATCCGAAAACTGCCATTCCAGCGTCTAGTGCGTGAGATTGCACAGGACTTCAAGACAGAGCTACGTTTCCAGAGTTCCGCTGTGAAGGCCCTTCAAGAAGCCAGCGATGCATACCTAGTTGGCCTCTTTGAGGACACCAACCTGTGTGCCATCCACGCCAAGAGGGTTACCATCATTCCCAAAGACATCCAGCTCGCCCGTCGAATCCGCGGATAACGCGCCTAGAACCATCGGTACAGCATGTAGCCCATGCACCTCATACACAAACGGCTCTTTTCAGAGCCACCACAACCCCAAGAACCACTGTTGTTCATAAAGTTGGATTTTTTTTTTTACCCCAATTTATGGAATGATTTTGACAATGATTTATTCCTAATAGATCTAGATAATAGTTTACATTCTCAGATTTTATTGAATAAAAATTTGCAGGTGTTTGTTTTGCGTGACTGCTCAAGCATCTGTATGCTGCTATGCTAATCAATAAATTAACAATAATTCATTGCATTTTCCCCCGATCCCCAACAGGAAAAATTCCTCTGGTTCAAGGCATGACCACACAGAGAATTTCGCAATAATTGCTACAGGTAGGCCTACACAAAGCATTGTAACAGTAGATATTCCCCTTTTTCTGCTTTGTATGGCCCTCACGAAATAAAGCATTGACGCTGATATGATCAGGCTTTCCTGTGAAAACAAACAAAATTATTATCATAATGTAATAATGTAATTTTGTGTACCTGCTTTTGAAAATGCCATGGTGTGAAGGAAAAAAAAAATCGCAATAAAAAAGTGGACTGCAGTTAGTTTCGCTGTAAAACAGTAAAGCATGGTAGACCTCAGGCGCGGATCTACGGGGGTTAAGGGGGTTAACCCCCCCCCCCCCTCGCCCCCTCCCCCCCCCCCCAAAAAAAAAAAAAAAAAAAAAAAAAGGGGGGAGAAGAAAAAAAAACGCACACTGGAGAGAAACCCTTTCAAGTGCAAATATTGCGAGAAAATATTCAACTCATCTCCTTACTTAACCAAACACATGATCACTCTGGATATAACTGTATTATTGTATTAAACTGATAACTGATTAAAAAAAGACGTTATCATGCACTGCTTTGTATGGTCTCCATTGTGTTAGTGGATGCCAGGAAAACATCACAATACGGGGGTTCAAAATAGCCACAAAAAAAATCGCCTCGCCGTTACACGGCTCGTGGTTAGGTCAAACTGTTTAAACTGTTATTTGATTTAAAAAGACGTTATCATGCACTGCTTTCTATGGTCTCCATTGTGTTAGTGGATGCCTGGAAAACATCACATACGGGGTTGAAATAAACACCCTCAAAAATCGCCTCGCCGCTTCACGGCTCGTTGACGATGCTCCGCCTCGTCATCATTTTGGTCAACCCCCCTAGCAAAAAGCTAGATCCGCCCCTGGACCTATGTCATTGTTAAAATACTTTAGTCGCCCTTAATATTGTGTCTCTTAATTACACCCCCTTAAGTGGAAGAGGTAAAATCACCTTAATATATGATAACCTTTTATATTTTTATTTTTGCTAGTCAGAGAGACAGATGTTTCATCGGACATGTGCCCCGATTTTCATATTCCTAAATCCGTTCTTCGTTACATTTTTGGCTGTTTTATTTGAACATATTTTTACCTACAACAAGACGTGGACACAAGCTGAAATGTTTTGACGTAGTCATTCAGTGCCCTCTCTTGGCGACGGAGACTTTAATAGTCATAGACAGCTTACGTCATCTCGTTTATATTCATTCTCGACAAGAAAACGACTTCGTTGACACACTTTTCCAAACTACGTACAAGAAACAGGTACGATTATTCCATTTGAGATTTTTCTCCTCCATTAATTGATCTAAACGTTCGATAGAATCCAACATCAACATTACAAACATCTTTACGTATTCGTTAGTTTTAACTTTTGACCTAAGCCATCTGAAAGGGCAAGTCCACTCTTACAATAACTTACTTTCAATACAAGCAGAAAATCAGACAAACCAATCAAAAAAGTTTGAGCAAAATCGGATAACTAATAAGAACGTTATGAATTTTTAATGACATGAAAAACTTTGAAAATCACAAGACAATTTGGCAACTCACTCATCAGTCTGTGACTTCATTGCCTCACTATCTACTAATTGTTTTCTTTATGTTGATAATATGATTTTTCAATTTTCACCCTAATGATAAACTATTTATATGAAAAATAATAATTATGAATATACAGTATTCCGAAAATAGTATCAATTTTTCAAAGTTCATAAAAGATTTTGTGAAATAAAACCTAAAACAAAACATAAAATCTGGGCAAAGGCATGGGGAAATCTCTGGGATAAAAAGGGAAATAATGGGATAAAAATGTATGAATCAATTGATAAATAGTGAAGCAATGACGTCACAAACTAATAACCAATTTGGCAATTTGTGAAGTGATTTTCATTGCTCCATAGTTTTTCATACTTTTTAAAAAATGCATAACTTCCTTATTTGTGATCCGATTTTCCCCACACTTTTCTTGCTCTGTTTCTCCTGTTTTTCTGCATCTATTGAAAGTATGTTATTTTTGGAGTGGACTTAGCCTTTAATCAATCTTAACCTAGGCCATTTCTTTAAAGGGATAATTGAGTTTTGGTATAGAGGGTGCTACACACAAAAAAAATATGAGATAATGAAAAACTGAGTGTCAAATTTGAAAAACTCAGAAAAGCATACACTTTAAATAACAAAATCATTTTTGTTTGATCAAATTCAGTTCAGAGACGGCTGAAATATTCATAAATATAACCATTTCTAATATTTGTGGGGCCCCACAAATATTCGATAATTTTGAACCAGCCTTTGAAAAAACGAAATAGTGCCTTATACTTTTATTCCAGCCAATGCCAACGTTGGCTTTTTGTTGGCCTATTCGTGTTGATAATAATACGCACAACCAGTCGGCCCGTGTATTGTTATTATTATTGTTGTTATTCGAATTTAACGGTCACCGTATTA